TTTTTTGTAGTTATCATTGCAAAGTAAGTAGTTATAATCCAGTGTTCTTAAAACCCTGTAAAACTGCTGTATTACATCTCATCAGGTAAATATCTCATAGTTCACTTAACCATTCCCTCCAGCCAGACAGGAACTGAGTTCTTTGTGCTCAATTGATCATATTTTTTCTCCAATATTTATGAAATGTCACATACACACATAGGCTACAGAAATAAGTGGTCCCTGTCCTGTCTAGTATAGCCCTCTAACTAGGAAAAGAGGGTGTGATAGTAGACTCAGAATGCAGTTTCATAAATATAAATGCCAGTTAAGATGGAAGCAGTTTTTGGTCAGGTAAACTGCTAGAGTCAGGGACAGTGACTTCAAGGGGAGGCCTTGGTTTTAGGAGAAGTACAAATAACTATACACCAGAACAAAAGAAGAAAACATAAAGAATTTAGGGATTTTTGCCTTCTAGTGTTTCTCTCCATTATGGTTAACATTAGGCATCGAATTACACTAACAAGTTTTGCCTGTCTTACTGGCAGAAATGGAATCCACTAAGCAGTGCGTGGTGGTACATGCCTGGAATCAGCTATTTAAGCAGCTGAGGCATGCAGATCAAAAGTTCAAGTCTCTCCTGGACAATTTAGCAAAACTCTGACTCAGTAAATAAATAAACTAAAATTAAAAGGGATAGGGATGTAGCTCTGTGATAGGGGCACCTCTGGGTACTATACCCAGTACCACCAAAAGAAGAAAAAACAACAACAACAAAAATAGAAAAGAGAAAGAAAACAAAAAGAACCTCATCAATTAATGTATATTTCCTTGATTATTGGTAAATTTGAATATTTTATATGGATTTATTATATTTGATTGTTCAAAAATTATCTTTTATTTTCGTTTACATTTTCTAATACAGTTCGGTCCAGACCTCTTATAATATTTTTCTTATTTATGATATATTTGACTACTGCCAGGAAGATGGCTCAGTAGAATAAGCGTTTCCCTCACAAGCACAAGGGCCCGAGTTCAATCCCTGGTTCCACCAAAATAAATGAATAAACAAATAAATAAGAAGACATATTTGACTACAATGCAAAATTATATTTTGCAAATATTTTGGGGCATGTAACATATGCAAGAATTTTGAATTGTCAAATAGTCCACTGATTTATTTTGTAGAAATTACTTCTTTCAGAGATCAGCTAAATGTTATTTCAGTTCTATTAGACTTTATACTCTTAAAATATATACTGATTTTAGATCATTGGAGGCTTATTTCAGCTTCTTATACATTTCAACATTGTCAAAACTATTCTGTCATTCAAAATTATTCTGAGGGGTGACAAAATATACAACGAATACCAAGTGCCATCCAGTGGGAAGACAGGCCCATAAAATACCACAGTGTGTCCTTACCTGGCTTTTTCACCTGATCTGGCACTGCATAACTTGTGATTCTTTCCCAGAATAAAAGTGACCACGAGAGGTGGACATCTCGAACCTACCTAGGACACAGAGGCAGCCATAACTCTGCCAGTCCACGAGAAAGAGGACTTTGAGAACTGCTTCAGAAAACAAGAAGATAGCTGGGGTAAATTTGTTCAAAATAAGAATTTTAAGGACTTCTGGCAATATATTTTTTGCTGTAACAAATTTTTTAAGCACTAAAAATTCATTGTATATTTTGATCATACTTTGCATAACAATCTTGCTAATTTAGTTAATTATATTATTTAAAATTCCATACCCCCCTTTTTTTGTCTTCTAATCCTTGTGTTAACATATAAAGACATCCAACATATAAATCTCAGGTCATGGTTGTGGATTTGTATATGTCTCTTTTTAGTCTTGTCCTTTAAGTTCATATATTTCTATGCTATATTTTTAAGACCATACAAATTGAAAATTGTTACAGCTTTCTGACTGATAGATTGGTCCTTTTATCATTATCAAAAAATATAATTTTTTTTTCAATCCACAGTACCACACACACACACCTACACACACATTCCCCAAAACAAAGCAACAAAAAGTTTTTATTGTCTCTAATACCACTTCTTAACAACCTACTGTTTAATATTTGGATAGACTTATGGGCTTTCAGTTTGGTACCACTTGAATAGCAGGATTCTTTCCACTTTTGTGTTGCCTTCTATTAAAAGTACCTGTTAGAAACAACAGAATAATTGTTTTGGTTTTTGTTTTTAGGTTGAGAAGATTAAACCAGAGCCTCACACATACAAGCTGTCTAGCACTGAAATGGATTCCAGCCCTTTTGTTCATTTGGCTCTTTGTTTGCTTGTTTGTTTGTTTGCAGACAGGCTCTAAGTTGTCCAGACTGGACTTGAACTTGGTATCTTACCTCCTGAGACTGTCAGATAGCTAACCTGATAGGCATGAGCCACCATGATGCTCCAAGACATTATCTCACATACAGTTTTTACCTTTTAACTTAGCTGTACAAAGATTTCATCTAATTGCATTTTCATTGTGTATTCTTTTATTGTATTCTTTTCTTGCTTCTATTGGATTAAGTATTTTCATTAACACATTTTATCACTCTGCTAACTTACTCGTTCTTCTATTATTTCAGCTACTCTGAGTTAGAATATGCATTCTTAAAGCTTAGTACTTTTGCCAACTTCTCAAATATGTGAGAACTTTAGAATATTTCAATTCCATTTACTTTCCCCTACTTTTGTGCAGCATTATGTACATTTTCTTTATATATTTAAAACCCATGACATTATTTTTATTATTTTATTCAGTTTGTATCTATTTATATCTAGTCATAGATTAACCCTTAGTTTTTTGTTTTGTTTTCTTTTGTTTTTTGAGATAGGATCTCCTTATATAATGCAGGCTGGCCTTGAACTTGCTTTGCAGTCCAGGCTGCCCTGGAACTCATGATGATCTTCATGCCTCGGCCTCCCAAGTGCTGGGATCACAGGCGTGTACCCTCATGCACCGCAAACCTTGGTATTTTCTTCATTCCTGTAGACATTTTTAGGATTTCATTTTGGATTATCTTCCATCTGCCTAAAGAACTCCTTTTGGAATTTCTTTCAGTGTGGGTCCATTTCTTTACTATAAGAGTGTCTGAGTTGTTTTTTTGTTTAAAGTTGAGTTTTAAGAGTACTTTTACCAGCATGAAAGTTGGGTTGGCAACGCGTATCTCTAGCAATATTATAAACCTATTTGATTTCTTTTTTTCTTTTTCTTT